ACAGATCTGGACTAATACTGGGCAAATGCCTACTTGTTCAGAGCAGTTTTGGGCTTTATGGATATGCGGTAATGTAAAATATTTTAATTATTGTGTGCCTCTGTGTAAAAGTGTTTATTACCTCTTAGACCCTGGCTGAGATCATAAAATCCTGCTTGGCCCAGAGCCCACATGATGGTCAAACACTTTACTGGACGATTCTGAACTGACCGCAACATTTCCAAATACTGCAGAAAAGCAACAAGGAGAAGGGAGAGTTTTACAATATAATAATGCAAAATTATTCAAACAGACAAATCCAGCAATACCCACTCTCAAACTACCAGTTTGAAAATATAATACATAAGTTGATAATATTACACATGTCCAGAAAAGTTAGGAAAAATATAGCTAGAGCTTTTAGTGTAATAACATGCAGAGCAGGAAAAGAGTAGCAAAGCTGCTGATTATTTGCCGGAGTGACAGTCACACACTCACCTCTGGCAGATTTTGGGTGGCTATTTTGGGTTTGTCCTGCAGGACTGCCTGAATGCAAACTCTGTAGCCATGTAGAGGTTCTCCTAGAAATAAAAACAATAAGCTTTAGGTACTTTCGACTTATTTTTCTGTTTTATGAATTGTAACTAAAAACTGAAACAATGCTTGGGTAAAATTTTTATTTCATGAGGCATCCTGGTGACCATGCTGACTGCTCTTGGTTAGTTTGTTAAAAGGTAAACAGTGGTAATTGAGGTTTGAGTCATGATGGGTTTTGACCCCACCCTAGCGTTGAACCATAACAGTGATCTTTGCACTGTTATGCAAAGATCACTGTTTTTTTTGTCCCCTGACTGCCAAGACAGTCACAACCACAAGACACATCACTTTCTTTCACAGCAGTGCACTTTTGCTCCTCACTAAAAGCTTGTTTAGTTTAGCTCGTGCAAAGATCAATCTAGATCAATAGATGAATCTAGACACAACAAAAGCTTTTTGCAAGTGAATACAAGGAAGGAACATAATGATTGCCTGCAGCTGCCTTTCTTTCAGGGTCTCTCATCTCATCTGCTTTCAGATGTTGGCTTCAGGCCTGTCGCTACCCTTGTGGGCTTTGTGAGGCAGACAAGTATGTCCACCACCTGGCCTTCTCTTCACCTCTGTCTGTGCTGCCATTGAGGTGAGATGGTTTTTATGGCCAAAGACAACCATTAACCTGGGCATAAATCCCACATCCCCCCACCTATTTACCCCCTTGTTTATTTGCTTGTATTTATTTGGTTTATATGTAACATTTTATATGTTTTATATTCAATCAGAATATTATTTCAACTTACAGAACATTCATTCATTTCTGCAGCTTTGGTATCTTGGCGCATTTTCCCCTGTCTGTTAATGTTCTACTGAGTAAAGTCGCATCAATAAAGGGATGTAAGAGGTTCTCCTGGGTTTACCTGACTGCCTGTCCAACTCCCTGAGCATAGTGTAAACACAGTGGTCGAAGAAATCTGGCAGAGCGCTGCTGCAACGTCCGATGAGGCCTTTGATCACGCCCCTCAGCTCTTTTCCTGTAAGGCAGTATGGGTAGTCTGGGACAGAAAAGACAAACAGGAAGACTTAAGTATTGAAATGCTTTAACCGCACGATAAATAAATGGGCATATCAAAATAAGAGTCTGCCTGACCATAAGGGTGGCTGCTGAGTGTGGGCTCCGTGTCCTGGGCAGTTAAATGGAGGTTGAGGTATCCAGCCAGGTCTTTGATCCAAACCGAAGGGTTTTCTGGAAACAGGGTCTGACTGCGAGCCAACTGCTGCTTCAGGTCTGCAACATCCAGCTGAAAACAGGACAAGAGAAAAATATCAGCACTGGAGTCTCAAAAAGAACACACCCTTTAAGCAAAGGCTAGATCGGTTTCAGCATGTGACAGTTGGCTTTGAAGATGTAACAATGCTGCTTTGTTTAGAGATCATTTCGGGTCATTTCTTTCACTAAATTTCCATTGAGTTTAATATCAGTCAACTTAAGAAAATGTCTCTTACTGACCGCTTTGAACGCCTCCTCGAGGGTTTTGTAAGTTGTGGGAGAGGTTGTATTGCTCGAATACGACTTCTTGGGTGGTTTACTTGATGAGGGCTTCTTGTTTTGAGGCTCGGATGGTGGAGGAACCTGCTCCTTGTTCTGCTTCTTTCCCACCTTCTCCAAGCTGTCATACAGACTCTCTGACATCTTCACGGGCGCTGAAGGACAAAACAAAGCAGCTGCAGTGAAATGCAGTGACTCCTCTATCCTGAGTCTTAAAAATCAAGTTACTCTCCTCAGTGTCTTGCTTACCCCCTTCTGCCCTCCCTCCACGCCTTGTGTAATGGGCTGTTACCCAAAGGAATATTTGTGGCATACTCAATACAATTCACAAAGGACTGGAGTTAAGCACAGACAGCATTCCAGCTCTCCCCCTTGTGTGTTTTTGGTAAACAGTTTTGAGGACCTATACAAAGTTAAGAACGCCTGATTTTTTTTAGAGCCTGTACTTTGATATTAACTCAATACTTATTTGCAATGTTTTATAAAGACAATAACAAGTAATTGTATTTATAAGATGTCAAAGCTCTCTCACTGGCTGAAAGTGGCAATACATTGAAATTGACCCTGTTCTGCTTTTATTCATTTCCCATCAAATACCTGCAGCTTGGAATAAACCTGACACCTTTACAGACTGTGGGGAAATCAGAGAGCAGTTTAACTGCTTACCAGTTTTTACTCTGTTGGTGATCAATCATTTTGTCATCATTTTGTCATTTTGTGTGCAAAACACACCAGGGGTGGATGGCAGGAACTAAGATCACTTTTCTTTGAATTTAAGCTGGTTAATGAGGTGATTTGACGAACGACTCAAATTGGCCTTTGACCTATGAAGTATTTATAGTGATCACAGTAATATGGGCTGCTTCTGTTGGCTCTAGAAAAATGTTTTCCTTCACTCCAACTCAGGCCCTCGTGTCAGTCACAGTGCTGTCTCTTTCCTGCACTCCGTTTCAGAATGGAGCTCCTTTTTAAACTCTACCTGTGATCATAACTGAGCGGCTGTGCTTTTTCATGAGAAAAATAGAAGTTGGACTGAACCAAATCAAGCTTTAGTCACACATGTGGATTTAGAGTCAGCATGTCTCTATTTTTAGTCTCAAATATGAGTAAAACACACGGCGTTCAACACTGGACAACCAGTGTCACTCTGTGTTTTCCAGACTTCCTTTAAAATTAAAGCACGGATAAAATACTGTGTGTTCCGTTTGCTTCGCAGGTGAATTCATAACTGTTAGTGGTGGAAATAGCAGCACTGGTCCAAAGAGGCCAATCACATTACCTTTTCTTCCCTGACCCAAGGTACAGAGGATCAACTTAAACTAGTAGTATTGCCTGAATACTAATAGACAGGATAGTAAAACTCAACTTAAACGTACAGTGTTAAAGCTTCTGTGTAACTCCTGCTAAAAGACTTCTACAGCTAAAGCAGATGTCACCACCAGCTGTTCACTGATCATTCAGGCTGAACATATCGCTGAGAACATTACATCTATATTTAGTCAGTGTGTTAACTGCAACACTAAAACTAGTCCTCATGCCCCTGAACTGAATCAGCTGAAAGCAGGCATCAAGACCAGACATGTCAGTCATATTGACTCAAACATGTCAGCAAGCAAAGCACTGAAATTCAAGTCCTGTACTACAAGCAATATCCATGATCTCCGTTATTTAGTTTTGCTTTAAATCGGAAATCTCTTACTCCAACATAAAAACCTTCGGGATTTATGAATCTAGCTAAAACTCCATTAACATGAAAGTGGCAATAGCAACTTAAAAGCATGAAAAGGTTTGGTGACCGCAGTGTGCCATGTTTTACAGAGAAGCTCAAAATATAACGAGAGAAACATATGAAGAGGTTTAACAGGCATGTGAGTGTGTGTGATAGTAGAAGAGCTGCATAGTATGCAATCAAATGCTGCATGAATGTGTGCTTGTGTGTGTTGATCACTGAAACTGTAAAGATTGTTATAGCATTTTTCAAGTCAGGGAGGAAAGTTACCACTATCAAAGCTTTAGGATTAAGGCATGGGAAGACCTGTCTATATTTACAATC